GTTGTGGGGTCTCCTTCTCTGGAGATATTCAAGACCCACCTGGAGAAGGTCCTGTGCAGCCTGCTGTAGGTGACCCTGCTTCGGCAGAGGGGTTGGACTAGATGACCCACAGAGGTCCCTTCCAACCCTGAACATTCTGTGATTCTGTGATTCTGTGATTATACATATATATTTATAGTATACATATTATAGTATAGTGCATAGTAGCCTTGGTATAGTCTATAGTGGGTTTGGCTCCTCTCTTGCATGGGTCAGCTATATTGCTTGTTTTGTGGAGTATTTCCTCTTGATTTATTCCATGAGAGTAAGGCTCACTGTATGTTGGGCAAGCAGGTGAGCATAAAAAATAATGCAGCACCTATAATCCTTGAATTGAGTCCTTGGACTGAATCCTCACTATTCAGCTCAGAGTCAGCTAGGAGACTGAAAATTCTTTGTGGTGAGCCAGCTGGGTTACAAGCCTTGCTGGAGGATCCCCAGAACATGGAAGTGGCCCAGCACAGCCTGAGTGACCTGGCAAGTGCCTTCTCAGAGCTGGTGAACCAGACATGGAAGGCTGAGTCTCCCAACGTGCCTGAAGAACCAGCGGTCCCATGCAGTTCCTCTGTTTTGAATGCCACAGTGACAGCCACATCTGTGAACTGGACTGCTTGAAATTCTTCTAAATAATACATTTTTGTGTATTTTTTGCATGGTTTTTACACCAAGTAATTTTATGAGGTTTCCACTCCTCTGCTTCGGACAGACTGAGGGAGTATGTGCAGTCTACATTTTCCTGTTGAGAATTCAGACATAATTGTTAAAGCAACCAGAAGCATATTCAGATCTTCACATCAGTTGAGATGTATCAGAGGAATCTGAAGACATGACGGGCACCGTAACATCTGCTTCATAGAGCCTAAATCCTGGTCGCTGCTCCATGAGATCATCAGTAGCAACAGACAGATTCTTGACCAGTCGCTTGAAGATTATCATCGCAAAAATGATTAGGTGCTGGTTGTGGCAAAAGGAGATACTGACAGCCTCCACTGCTGTTGGCCATTTCAAGCCACTTGATATCTGGGGGAACAACTCTGGATAGCAGTCAAGTAAAGGCAACCCAAGGTTTTTCCCTGCTTTGTGCTCCATTCTGCTTCTGCAGTAGTGAATGCTTCTGACCAGATTTGGGTAAATTATAGCTACAGTATGACATGCAAATGATTCATGGGAACAAAATTATGAAAGTCCGTCACCAGGTTTTAACAGATAAAAGTGGATCTAGTGCTGCCAGCTTTGCTGTACAACGATGCTCTGGTGGGACTGCCTTTGCTTTCCTTGCACTGATGGCATACTCTGGTAGAAACCAAACCCCACCACTGGCTGTGGTGCTACCACCTGTGTTGTGGGTGCTCTTCTCTCCTGCTTCTACCCGTGGACCACGGAGGCCAGTGAGACCGAGGTGTAGGAAGAGGACGCTTAGGGATCCCTGCGCTGCTACCAGCTCGCATATGCAGGCACATACAGAGACAGGCTGGAGGCTTCCTGGTGGAGCTCACGTAGGTCCTCCGCACCGGCACGTGTAGTCACACACTAAGACCTCTCAGGATAAGGACAGGGAGCTCAGCGAGGCCCTCCCTTTTGAACAGGATGAGAAATCCTGTGCACATTTCCTGAAACCCCGTTTTTCCACCTCATGGGTGCTGCTCTTGAGCTTGGACTCTGTTTCGGCTACCCGGGTACTTGCTTTGGCTTTCTGCCTGTCCCTGAGCATGAAGCAAGGATTGCGTTGCATGGTTTTTTCCTTCTTCTGATAAAATGTCTGGGCAATGTGAATCTGTTTCTGGGAAGGTACCAGAAAGGGTAACGTCAGGGCCTGAGGCAGCGGGAAGGGTGTGAGGGGAAGGCAATCTCTGCATCTTGGCGTGTCCTTCTGCCAAACTGGCAGCATCATCCCAGTGTCAACAGGCCTGTAGAGCGAAGTTTCCATTTTCTACCCATTCTGGCTGTGGCTGAGCTTCTCAGCACCTGTCCGTCCTTAACACAAAACAAAAGTCCCCCTCCTCACCCTTACAGAAGCCAAAACATCTCAGCTCAGCTGCTGGCTTGGTGCCCACTTGCTCTTGGGTGCTCCCTGTGCTGGAGGAGACAATATCCTGACACAGCTATCACAGAATCATAGAATGGTAAGGGTTGGAAGGGACCTTAAAGATCATCTAGTTCCAACCCCACTCCCGTGAGCAGGGACACCTTCCACTAGACCAGGTTGCTCAGAGGTCCATCCAACCTGGCCTTGAACCCTGCCAGGGAGGTGGCATCCGCAGCTTCTCTGGGCAACCTGTTCCAGTGCCTCACCACCCTCAGAGTAAAGAATTTCTTTTTCATATCTAGTGTAAATCTCCCCTCTTTCAGTTTAGAGCCATTACCCCTTGTCCTATCACTACACACCCTCATAAAAAGTCCCTCTCTGGCTTCCTTGTAGGCCCCCTTCAGGTACTGGAAGGCTGCTATAAGGTCTCCCTGCAGCCTTCTCTTCTCCAGGCTGAACAGCCCCAACTCTCTAGGTCTTTCCCTGTAGGAGAGGTGCTCCAGCCCTCTGACCATTTCTGCGGCCTCCTCTGGACCGGCTCCTTACCCCAGCTGCAGCTGCAGCAGTTGTGTGTGCTGCTGAGGTCTGGCGCACAGCGTCCGAAAGCCTGTGACTCCACCAAGAGCATTTAAGCAACCTTTAACACACTGTTAATTGAAGATAACACCGATGCAAAATTGGAGGGACCTAGAGACACACACAGACAATTCAGTCTCAGTTTTGTTCACAAAATACGAGTTTTGGTAAGTTTCTCTAAAGGAGCGCAGACGAATTTCAGTCTCTTCCTCGGCGTGCTGCTGCCTGGGGCGGCAGAGCTGTAAACCCCACTGATTTTAGTCACTCAGTTGCAGCTCCGGGCACTCAGCCCAACGGCCAGCTGCGCTGCTTGGCCAGATCAGGCTGTGCTGCCTTTCGTCTCTGCCGGCGCCGCGGCACGCTGACCCGTTCCGCCGCGGCAGGCAGCTAAATATTCGGGTACGGAGTTGGTGACCACATCGTAGCAAAACTTGATGTAGAGACGTATGACCACAGAGCTGCTGCGCTAGTCGTTCCTTGCAAACAGCACAGCAAAAATCTTTTGGTTTGATACTGAGCTTTTCGTGACCGTGTTTTTAGCAATGCTACGAACTGCAGTGAAGTGGTTTTTTGCTTCTGTCTGTGGCACTAACCTCGGTCTTTGTCCCGCTCCAGTTAATAGGCTGCATTATTGGCAGACAAGGCAGTAAGATAAATGAAATCAGGCAGATGTCAGGAGCGCAGATCAAGATTGCTAATGCCACAGAAGGCTCCGCAGAACGACAAGTTACCATCACAGGATCCCCTGCAAACATCAGCTTAGCACAGTACCTCATTAATGCAAGGTAAGTTTGCTTTGCAAGTGATAATGCTTCTGTGAGATTGCTCTGTCTGCTCTCCAGCAAATGTCTGTCTTGGATAGATCCAGCAGGTTGCTTCGCAGTGTCCGTTTTGCACAGCATTACTCAATTCCTAATGATTTGTTAAGGCTGTGTCTTTAGAACTTGTGTTTGCTGTTGGTTTATACGGAAAGGAGCTTAATCTGGTGCAATTCCAGGTACATGTTGAATGACAAAAGCTGTAAAATCTGAATACTCACATTAGCATCCACCTAAAATACAGGCGGATAAATTAAATGAAACAACAATCGTAAATTCTTTAGCAGAAAACACTTTTCACAGACCCATTTTACTGTCCTAAATGACAAATATAGTGAAACAGATTGCAAAACAGATTTAATTTACTAACTGGAAATTGCCACTCAGAGATGGTATTAAACAGACATTTGGTTGCTAAAGAGGCACAGGATTTATTTTTTCAGAGACAGCATCACAAATTTGTAAAAATCATTCCCTAATGAGATGGGGTGAGACTGTCCGCTTCTCCACTTCTCGGTGCCAGAATTAGTGAAAGCACTGGCTGTTCAGCTAAGCCATTGCGATGGCTGAAGTCTCTATCAGTTTCAGTGTGATTACTTAGAAAAATATTAAAATTGATACCACCTTTATTTGCAGTTCTCTGGAGGAGAAAGTGCAATGGATATAGTGCTGTCTCATAGATCTGCTTGTAAATGGTGGACCAAGGCAATGTATTGTGGGGAGGGGGAGGATCTATGTATTTTATTGCATGCTTTTATTTTTCCCCTGTTATTTTTGCCCCCCCAAAAAAATACTGTGATATGACTCAAGCTTTGTTTTTAACTATGTTCGCTGTTAAGGTAGTAGAAAGTGTGTGATTTATATGGCGGGGCTGTAGTCATAGCAGCTTCCAATGGTCCGACCTCCTCTCCAGCCCCGCTCTGTAGCGCACCACTGCAAGCTGTAACGCTTGTAATTTACAACTGTAAATGTCTGAATGGAGGAAAAGGATGTTTGTGCAGCTCCGTGTTACAGCAAACGAAAAGATTACTTTTTATAATTCAGTTGGAAAGTAGTTACCTGGGGAAAGATAATATGAGGGGTAGCATTGTGAAGCCTAAGATAAGCCGCTTCTAGAATCCTAAAACAAGCTACAGCTCTTTTGATTTCTATTCTTTGTAGCAAATATAAGTCACTTCCGTAAGCCCTGTAATCAAATAAAAATGTGTTCCCTCCTTTAACCCTTAAGGATATGTTCTTCTCTTGGTGTTCAGGGATTCCCCACACATCGAGACGAGAATAGACCCCTTCATTTTTAGTTGCACAAACACCATATGGCATGCATCTGGATCTCAGAAGATAACAATTTAAGATCTTCAAGACAGCCAAAGCATGCAAATAAAATAATGCACTTCTTACTGGAATTGCAGTGAGCTGCTCACCAGAGACAGAAACTCTAGTGAACAAACCTCTGCTTGACTCACTTTAGAAAAGCCTGTGAACTCTCACACTTCTGTTTGTTACCGTTTAACGATTCTTTTGATGGAATGAGATATATATGAGATCTTTTAACATAATTTGCAAAGAAGAGAACTTCTCAGCA